CAATACATTTTTCGTGTCAAAACGTTTAGCATTTTATGCAAGAAGAAATGAACGATTTTGAAGTCTTTTTTAATAAACTTTATTTAAAAATTGATATTAAAAAAAATAAAACTTTCAAATAGTTTTAAAAATATATTTTATTTTATTAAATAAGCAATAATCTCAGACAAATTAGCTAAAATTTATGTTAATTTAGAATAGTGTAATATGTTACTCCCTCCGTCTCCTAGTTTTTGTGTCAGTGCGAACCATCAAAATGTTAGTGCATTGCTTTGGTATACAAATGAGGTATAAATTTTGGGGTACATGTTGCATGCTCCATTCCATGACACTCTGTAGTTATTCTTCTTAGGCATATTTTTGAATTTATATTCCTTAACTAGAATCAGTTTTTTCCAATAATAATAGGTTTCATGATGGATGGAGGAAAGATTAATAATCAGTTAAATATAGGTAAATATGCATGGAGGAAAAATATTTCTGAAATAATTTTGACTCCAAAATCAAATAAACTTGAGAGGTGTAACTGAATGTGATGTGAGAGTGCGTTCAACTCGGGTCGGGGATGGGTGAGGATTTACCAAGAGGGTTAGGGGAGATAGGAATCGTCAATTTTACGAACGAATTACCGTAACGGGCCCAGGTCATCCAATGAGGCTATGACATGTGGTTTCAGTGTCACAGGAATCCCTTTAATTGGTCCGATTGCCAGGGGTTTGGCCCCGAAAGTAGTGGGCTCAGTTATTAACTGCCCAACCAATTCAATTATTAAGCCCGAGGGTCCATGACCGAACTATTTGGGCCTTCATTTTTGCTTGATTTTTATTGAACCAATACTTCATATGATTTGATAAATATGCATAATTACCTTTCACAGTTTCAACACTTATGCCGATGTCCCTCGCCGTCAGATATTGCTACGCTAATACTCACCTAGATTAAAATATTCTTTAAATATTAGGTTAATAACTTCGTTGCCACGTATGGCTTTGGAAATGGGCACTAACACACATTTCTTTTTTTATTATTTTTCTTTTCCACTGTCTTTTTCTTGTTTTTTAATTTCCTTTTAAATTTATTTTTTATAATGTTCTAACAATCAAATTTTTTGTGTTTGCAACAAAAAATCAATTAAATAAAAAGAATTAATGTACTCTTCATTTGTCTCAAATTAAATGTTTTAATTTTTTTTTTTCTAAAAGAGCTCTTTATTGCATCATTTTAATGATACAAAAGTCAATGAAATTCTCTTTTTACACTAAAGCTTATTTCTTGTTTCTGTTCGTTAATTTTATATTGTTACATTTATTTTAGTCAAAATCAAAATAAAAGAAAAAAAAAAGAAAAGAAAAGAAAGAAAAAGAAAAGTTAAATGTTATTAATCAGTATTCTTTTGTTTCAACATATTCAAAAAATAAAACCCTTTTACACAAAAAATGAAAAAAAAAATTAATCTGACAGATGAAGTATGTGTTAAATTTTTTATTTTAAACAGAAATACTTTTTATTTTATTTTTTTAAAACTTTTTTTAAAATATAGTTTTGAAAAATAACTTTCCATTGTTTCAAACACAAATTTTTTCTTCTCTTTATGAAAAAATGAAAAAAAAGGAAAAACAATAAAGAAAAAAGAAGAGGGAGTGTAACGCCATTTTCAAAACCATAAGAGGCAGCAGAGTTATTCACTTAATGTTTGAAGGATATTTTTGTCCATATGAGCATTGATTAGAAATATCAGAATCATTAGATGCAACAACGTAAGTTTTGAAAAACAATACAGATTTACCAAACAATAGAAGGTATTGATGCAATAAACTTTCCAAACTCTCCCACCTACTCCCACCTAATTCTCAAATTCACTTTTAAGACGGATTTGAAGTAAACTAATTTCAAAAAGTAAATTAAAATGTAAAAAAGATTGTCAAGAATGTAATTTGGTCATCCTAATTATCTCGAACCTCGTGGAATTGTCATTTTTTCATCCTCCCAAAAAACTAATCATTTTCTTTTCATAAGCGTCTTCGCTAATGCCGAATTCTAGAATTGAACAGAGCGTGAGATTTCTACGTGAATTCGGGGTTAGAGATTCAGAATTTTTTTCCCCAAAAAAACACAATTTGAGATTATAAAAAAGTAAATTTTAACTCAACAAAGCATTCGATAATTGATGAAAAAATACTTCCTAAAAATTTACCCTTTTGACATTTTTTATTTTCAAAATATGTTCTTTTATTTTAAATATTTCACTTTTAAGTTCTCCTATTTTTTAAAAAATATTTGATTTTCAATTTAAATTTTTTGATGGGAGCATAACCAATACTTTTTCTGCCCAAGTTTAATTTTTCTCATTTTGACTTTTCTCATTTTAAAGAGCAATTGACTATTTGAATATAGGGTGTAATTGTCTAAAATACCATTGCAAAAAAAGTAAAAGTAGGTGAGCTGTTAGAACTTTTTTTAATGAAATGGAGGGTATTTTTATTCACCACATTATATGAAAATTGTGAGGATTGATTTCAGATGCAAAAAAAAAAAAAAAAACACAAATTTAATTCGAAATAAAGAACTGAGGTACTATTTTAAATATATTTAAAATTTATGGGGAGAATGTATTTCTTTCCTCTCCCACAGTCTATCATTACTCCTTACTAGACCCATTCATGGGCATGGTTATTCGGCCCAATCCATAAAGGTCTGTTTGGAACAATGAATGCTTGGGTTTGAGTTTTAGTGTTTTTCTCTGTTAGTACTTAGTAGTTATTGACTTATTTGATAAGTACTCCCTCCGTCCCATTTTAAATTACATGTTTGCCTTTTTTTTTCGTCCCAAAATAAGTTGCCTGTTAGTTGTTTTCGTAAACTTTTAAAAATAAAATACCTAAACTACCCCTAAAAAAAGTCACTTTTTTTCACCTTATCTTCTCATTCATCATCACCCCTTCTGAAAAATAATGGCAATTTCGAAAAATTAACTCTATTTTTTATTTTCCTTAAATATGCCCAAAAGTCAAAACAGGCGATTTAAATTGGGACGGAGGGAGTAGATTTTAATTTATAAGCTACTTATAAGTCAAATACTCTTTAATCGAAGTAAGTGACTAAAATGATAGATAAGTCACTTGGAAATATTCATAAATGGTGATGGAGAATTTTGTGAATAATCTGGTCAAAACAGAGAAATAGAAAATCTGGTTTAAAAATAAGTAGCTAAGACATATTTATTTTTCTGGCTTATTAGCAACATGCAAGTCAGCTTATAAGCACACGAAAAATATCATCAACTGACTTATAAATTAAAAATATCATTTATTTAATCAACTGAATATATGGAGTACATAGAGAAACGGTATTGATCAGCTAATATGCACGAGCTCATATATACCCCGAAGTACATTTTAAACTTGTGATATTCTATTACTTTGTAAAAAGTATTATTTATTTATTTAATAAAATATTAATCCGGACCATGCCTTATACGAATTTTTGTAGTTATAAGATATACTCCGTATCTTTTTTTAAATAGATGTATATTTTGAATTTTAAGAGAAATGCTAGAGTCACAGACATTTCAGTCATAAAATACACAAACTTACTATTTGTGTATTTAAATATTTACTTTTTAATTATTTAACATCATTTTATTCACTTGGTGAGGTGCACAAATAGCAAGTTTGTGTATTTTGTGACTGAAGTGTTTGTGACTCTAGCATTTCTCAAATTTTAATAGTTTTTTTTGCTGCTTGGGTGAAGTTTCAAACACTGGTTGAGATATTGAAAAATAATAAAATAGAAAAAATGATGAATAATTTAAAAATTCACAACATTTTTTTGAAATATTAATAAATTGTATAAAATATGTTTTAGAAAAAATACTCTATATTTTAAAATGATAAAATGTATATAGGTGCAATACTTCAAAAATGACTTTTTTTTACAAAATTAATACTTATTGAATAAAATAATAATAATAAGAATAATAATGAAATAATACTCATTGAACAATTTATACTTATTGAATAAATTAAAATAATAATAATAATAATAATAATAATAATAACAACAACAACAACGATGTATCACCAGAAAATACATAAATGACGTATCGTTATTTAGTTTGTTTAAATCAATATATAAATGAATAAATAATGTGGATAAAAGTTTTGAAAGATGCATATGTGATATAATATACTTCTTCCGCTCTAAAAAAACAGTTCACGTTTTGATTTTTTGTCAAACACTGTCTTTCTTTAGCAAGAAAATGTGAAAAATATATACTTTGATATTACTTAAGATATTTCTTTGATAGGTCAAATTTTATACTCCCTCCGTCCACAAATAAACTTCTCGTTCACAATTCACAGGGTCATACTCTATTCACTTTATTGGCCTATTTTTGTCACCCATTTGACAAAATAATGTAGTCATGTCACCTCTAGTTTTGTAGATCTTTTGATATAATTTTTTAATACGGAGTATGTAATAACTTCAGTCAAACATCGTAACGCGCACCGACAAGTTTATTTATGGACGGAGGGAGTAACATTTTTATATTTATGGGGCCGGTTCCCATGACATTGGGAACCAATGTCATGGGATGACCCGGGGTTGCTCCGGTGCCCGTTCATAAAATTGACGGTTCCTACCCCTTAATCTCTGGTAAACACCACAACCTTACCCCGACCCGAACACGCCCCCACCCCCTTCAATTGCACTCCCAAATTAATTTTTGACTCCAAAGTCAAAATTAACTTAGATGTGCAATTGAAGGAGTGGAGGCATGTTAGGGTCGGGGCGGGGTGGGGATTTAGTGGGAGTTAGGAAAGTAAAAAAAGTCAATTTTAGGAACGGGCATGACATTTGATTTTCAATGTAGAAGGCCGGACCCGGCGGACTCGCCATAGCCGCGCCGCGCGAACGCCGATCGCAATCGCCGCACCAGGCGGAATGGCGATCGCCGGACCCTCGAAATCGTGAAAGCTGGACCCAGCAAACCTGCCGGAGGCAGCCATGAAGAGGTCGAGGATGATGAATATGATGAGGAGGAGAATTTAAACAATTGATGAGGACTGCAAATTTCTTCCATGGATGGCTAAACTATTTGGCAATTATACGGTACAAACCGATGTAATTCTTCAAATTTGTAACTTAAAAATGTTTCAAAATCAAGACTGTGTTATTTTAGAATGAACATTATACTCATAATGAACACTGTCAATTTATTCAAAATGAATATTCAATAAGTGTACTTAATTTTACGTACAGCCGAATGTACTGTATATATTCTCAAACTATTTTTAGTTGATATATTGGTGTTGGATTAAGTAGTTTATGTTTTTATGTTCTTATATTTTCATTTTGGGAGTGAGATAACATACAATAACTAATTTAGTTGCAATTTTGTTTTTTCAGATGTCTGAAATGTCAAACCAGTGATTTGACACATTTGGCCAGAAAACTCAAGTTGAGACCATTGAAGGGCAATTCAATGGCTAGAATTATTAAGGTAAAGCAGTCCAAACCTTGGATTATTGACTGAGGTATTTCCAAAAATCTAAAGGCATGTAGGGTAGGGCATATGTGAAGACCCAAACACAGCCTTTATGAAGGGAAAAAAAGATGTACTTGCAAATATATATAGCCCCACTTATAGTTGTTGGAATACCCACACCACCCTTAGCTTTACTGAGATCATTATTATTGTAGGGATGATTCTTTGCATTTCTCACATTTTTCATCCACTTCTCACAGCCATTAAGCCCCCACATCTGTTCTCTTCCCCAAACCCCAATTATCACCATCAATGTATGCACAATGCAACCTAACCCCCCCCCCCCCAGGTTTCCTATCCTTTAAGTGTCAATCATAATAATTTCAAAGTTTTTCGTTCTGTTACTATCCATTATAACTTTTGTGATACCATAGTTATTAAAGGCGCTCGCCTCTCTCGCCTATGGCGCCTCAGGCGACCAGGCGAGCTCTCAGCGCCTCAATGAAGCCAGGCGAGGCGAGATCCCTAAAGCGCGCTTAAGGCGGTCGCCTTTCTCGCCTCAATCACTGCCTCAGGCGTTCGCCTAGCTCGCCTTTCTCGCCTCAATCACTGCCTTAAGGCTTTAGGGTATACAATGCATAATATTTATTGCTATATATTACTCCATAATATATATATATATATGTATATATATATACACATATATATATATACATATACATACATACATACATATATAGTATCAATATTATGTGTTTATACATACATACATATATGTGTGTGTGCGCGTGTGTATATGTATGTATGTATGCATGCATGTTCGCCATTTGACCGCCCGCCTCTCGCCACGCCTCTCGCCATAAAAAAGGTCCTCTCGCCCGCCCCTCGCCACTCGCCATTAATAACTATGTGTGATACATCAACTATTGAATGAATGTAGACACGATGTTAGTCCACATTCATTCAACTCTTAAAGTTTCACAAAAATCATAATGACCAGGTAAATATGAATGTATGGGGTATATAGAAGTAGAAAATGACATGGCGGGTGGTAAGATGTCCGTGAGCCTTACCTCTACGGCTCTACCTCAAAGGGTAGGAATGTCGGTTGCGAGAGTATCCTCGGCAAACGATAGCGTAAAAGAACCAAAGAAGCAAGAAAAGTAACAAAAAAAGAGCCCACACTAACATTTACCCAACAACAGCTCTAATTGCCCCATATACACATCTCTTTGTCTATTCCTTGGAATGCAAAACACAAAATGTCTTGGTAACTACAGAATTGTTTCAAAGACTAGAGCAACTAAACTTAATAGGGCATTTCCTCTAATAAATGATTAAGCAATGAGTAAAGAAATGCTACACAACTAATCAAACAACAATAGGGTTTTCAATAATCAAGAGAACCAACAGATGCCATGCCACTAATCATCTTCCTCGACTCCGGCGAGGTCCCAAAGTCATCACAGCTCCCGTTTGACATCCGAGACATGGGGATGGAGCTTAGAAGCTCTAGGCCATGCTTCCCCATCTGCTGCACCTCTTGAGGCGACAGTATCTTTATGCACCATACGCTGTTCACAAACTCCCTGCGATGAAGTGGAAGGTGGTGAAATTCGAATTTGTGACCTCTATGTCAACCAGGCTTTGATATCATGGCCAAGAACCAAATCAACCAAAAGCTCAGGCTTTTATACTCTAAGAAATGAAAAATTTGCTCCATATAGGACCAAAAGGTAGTACGTTTCCCTGAATAGGACCAAGTATGTTTTATTCCCTTTATGGCACATAATTCCATATGATCTCCCTCCCATATATGCCCTCATTAGCAATAAGTGTTGGATAATGACTAATTATACGATTGATTATACGAATATGGTCATTAGCAACAAGTATTGGATAATAACTGATTATTTCAATGACTATTCAAATTTTTTTTAATAATGTCTTATTCTACTTCAATTGTGTAATAGGTTATTTTTCTCAAAGGCAGGGCATTTTAGAATTTTCCATTGCCAAACGTTAGAGTAAATAGGACTGGTCCTATTTAGGGAAAAATGATATGTTTAAGTCCCATTTGCGTAAATTACCCTTAAGAAATAGAGGAGGTTGATTAGGGGGAAAAGTAGGAGAACTTACGGCCAAGGGTCATCGCCGAGGAGAAGAACATCGTTCTCCCGATCAACAAATACAAGCTGCCAGCCTGATCTTAGAGGGTCCTCTAGTAAGCCTTCGAGGCCAAACATCTGAGCAAGTTCGCTGCGCAGCTCTGGGTAACTGCTGAACTTGGTGATGTCCAGTGACCTTCCCAAGGACCCTGACTTACAAACCTGATGAGCAGTAGCGCACAATGTCAAACATATTACACGATCGATCACATGAAGTTCAGTTGGTTGGAATGTTTTACCTTAACAAAGGTTCTATTGGGTGGGTTTTCCGGCCCCAGATTCTCAGAAGTCTGCATGACACTCGACTCCTCGATGCAAGGGGGAGGCGTCAGTCCTGAATTCATGGGGAAATCATTTCCGGAATGACTCACGTAGTTAGTCGAATCACAAACACTCCCCACTCCCTTGAGGGGAATCCCCCCATTCTGAAACAGCAGAGACGAGGAATCTATATTAACCCCAAACAGGAGGTTGTTTTGAGGGTCATTGTTGTTCCCTTCCTGGTCTTCTGAGCACACCCTACCCGGGAACGAGGAAGGACAAGAACCCACATTTTGGGACATACCCATGTTTTGTCCTCCTCCCAAATGTTCCACCTGGGGAGAAATTGGATCAACCGCGACCCTCTTTGGTGGCCAGCCAGTGGGGGACATCATGTTACCCGACCTCGACACATTCATAATCTGTGCTGTCTCATATTGTGGCAAAGAACCAAGCAGACACTGAAATGGGTCAGAAAAGCTTGAAGAAGCCAATTGGGAGGACATGACAGACCCAACATTCGACACTTGCTGAAGATGATTATCAAGACAATGTTGTCCTTGTTGTTGGAGGTTGTTGAGTGAGTTTTGATGTTGGTATGATTGTTGCTGGAGAAGGAGCGATTGGGAATCGGAGAGATTGGGGAAGAACTGAGACTGCTGTCCCAACATATGAATTGGGACGGCGTTTGGTTGCTGGAATTGCAAGAGTGGGGATAAGGCTTGATACGCGTCGTTTTGCAGGCCGAGCATTGGGAGAGATGGCTGATGATGCATCATCCATGGCGGCGTCAGGCCCATCCCCTGGAAATTGACAGGCTGCATCCCGGGGTCTCCTCCATCGCGCAGCCACATCAGCGGAGAATTCATCATCATATCATCTTCCTTCATCCCTGTGTTAAATAAATATGAGTCATACTAGGGTCACTCCACGTTTGACACCAAGTGTTTTTCTGACAAACACAAACAGTCATTGTCTGTGCATATCTATGAAACACTTGGTGTCAAAATTTTGGTGTCAGAACGAATGGGGGGGGAGAGGTGGAAAATAATACCATTGAAGTTTGGGAGTCCGGATGGCCACGGTCGCTTGAGCCTTAGGAAGGGCGATGGATACATTGGGAATGTAATTAGAGGTTCAATTTCCCAAAGAGATACTCTTGGTTGCCTATCTCCGGCTGTTGATTCATCCCATCCAACCTGCACTAATCACACAAATCACTGAAAAATCACATTAATTTCTATTAAGTTTTTGGGTAGTAAAATGCGGCGGGGATAAGACTATATACATCGTGAAAAAGTTGGGATATACCGGACTTTGTTGTATAATTAGCTAAAGAAACACGAAAAAAGCACAGTTTAAGGATTGAAAAACTTGCCTTGACAGATCGCCAATACGAGTTTGGCCAGCGTACGGGATCCAAATCGCTAATGCCAGTTATTGTGCCCATATACCTAAAATAATGCACAATATAAGGATTAGATAACCTATTTCAATAGTTTATAATTTTTTTCAAGGAAAAAGGGAAAAAAATATGTGTTGGTTTTGTTTACCGGCGAACGCCAGATTCTTCAGTCTCAAATAGCATCCGGAAGCGCATACCGACAGAAATTCGGGTATGGTATACAGCTTTCACATATTTGGTAAGAGGTACAACAAATTCGCAAGGGCTAGCCCTACAATTTAAATTTAAACCAGTTAAGTTATAGGTACTTTGTAAAAAAATGTAATGAAAGAAAGACTCTAAATACCTTGGGTTGTAAAAGATGGTGAAACGGCTGTTAGTGGCTGCTGCATGAGCTGCAGCTGCGAGAAGGCCGAGATGCATGCTGTCACTTGAGATAACTGAGGATGGCATTACTGTTTGAGGGCGATTCGCACGACGAATGCCAAGAAATAATTGGTTCTTCTCATTCCTAGTGTGGTTATAATAGAGAGGTGCAATAATATAACTCAGTGATTCTAAAAATGAGCAAAAACCAAGTACAAGAACAACAACAACAAACAAACCCAGAGTTCGATTTCAAGAAACATTCGGCTAAAACACAGAAGCGCAAAGAAAATACAGATAAACAAGTTAGAACAAGGGTTACCAGATGAAAATGACTGAATCGCCCGCAACAAGTCTTTTAGCACTCACAAACACACTCCAACCAGTGGTAAGAAGATGTCTTTTCGGTTGGCCTGTCATGACCGCAAAACAAGAGAAATCAAACCTCTTCTGCTTAATAAGCCCGGTCTCATACTGTTCAGTCTTTTGTGTCAAAGAAAGTCATTTTAGAAGCTAAACTAATGGCAAGAAGAGTGTCCAAAATGACTCACCTCGGAAAATATGTCTGAATTTCCATTCATTGTCATGCAGGTCCCTTGCAATCAATTCTTGGGCAGGAGGCTGCTGAGAGAAGTCCTGTGAATCCAAACACAAATTCCCAAAGTTTTGATGGTTTTAGTCTTTATTCTTAAAACACAAATGAACATGTAATTAGGCCTCAGATGTATTGCAAAACCAAACGCAATTACCAGTGGAGGGAACACTTTCTCTGCTGAACGCCGAGGAACTGAAAATCCACCATGAGTGCTTGTATCACTTGCTGTCAGCGTTTTGCAGAAGTAATTTGTCGGCTGTTTGCTAGGGGTACACATCTCTATTGGATGAAATGAAGCATCATTTTGCTCTTGCTGCAAAACAAAAAAAAAACTAAAATTAGGAAATTCAAATCCAGAATTTAGAACAACAACCCAATTCAAAACTCAATAAATACCAATTTCTTAAATAAAAAAACATACCGGGCTAAGAGGTTGCAATGTCATTTGAGCGTAAACTTCATCCGTCTCCAAATCAGCCTGAAAAAGAACAGTTTTTTAAGGCTATATTGCTTTTAAAGAGAGAATGAAAGTTTGGCATCTAAATTGTTTGACAAGAATTAGCAAAGCAACTTTCTTTGCCACTTACATGCATTGTTACATTGTGTAGCTGACAGATGAGCTGTGGGGGCAAGCTCGGGTAATTCGGAATATGCCCGTCGACTTCCCTATTTGTGGACGCGGCAACCTACACACGCGCATTGGATACCCAAAACTTCAGATCCATCGAAAAGTTTGACGAAGAGAATAGACCAAATCAAATTGAGACAATAAGGCATATGTCAAGAGAATTGGAAAGACCTGTTCACTATGGCCTTGGGGGAAATACACCACTTTGCTACCTATAGCAGGTAATGAAACAAGAGGGCCAGCACAAGCATGCCAAAGTTCTGAATTCAAACACTTTTTCTCCCCTGCAATTCAACCACACATAAAGATAAAAAAAAAGAAAGATGAAATTTGAAATTTCAATTAAAGTTTTTTTTGGTAAAGAACTTCTCTAGAATTTCGGAGAGGATTAAGAAAATAAAAATAATGATCTCTAAAATATGGGTAACATATTATTATGAAAAATAACAATTCAAAATGTTGTTTTGTAACTTCAAAAAATATCCATGGATTTTTCCATAAACTCAAAATATGTTTGACCTTGTTGATAGTTAAATAAAATACCTTCAGGAGGAGATTGCTGATTGAAACAAGAAGAAGAAAGCTTCATTTCCGCAGAATCAAAGATTAGTGAAAGAAAGAAAGAAAGAAAACCCTTCTTCTAATCTTCAAGCAAAGACTGTTCTTTTATAGAGCAAAAATGTTATGAGCTTCATCAGCTCTATATCTTACACCAGAAAAAAAAACCCATTCTTGACAGAAACTTCTTGAACAAAACCCTTAACCCATTAGCCTCCACATTCCCTGCCTGAATCTAGAGATGACTCTCAACACTCATTCCAAGAAACAAATAACAAAAGAAACCCAGTTCTTCAGATCTCATCAGCTTCAAGAATCAAGAAACAAGAGAAAGATCAAATTAGCAGAAGAGCTGCAAAAAAAACCCAGAAATTCCCTAGACATGAATCTTCCCTGGAATAATCATGGTACCCAAGTTGTGTAATTCAGAGTCACACACGCAATCTGCCATTATATGACAGTTGCCCTCTTTCTCTCTCTAAATCTCTCTCTCTCTCTCTCTGTATTTATGTGTTTGTTTGTGTGTGTATATATAGATGCATGTGCGGGAGGGAACAGAGATTGAAGAAGATATTGGGTGATGATGGAAACCTTGAGTTCTGCTAAAAGGTAACAGAACAAAGAAATGGTGTGGTGGAATGGAATGAGAAACAGAGTGGCAGGCCTCACTTAAGCACCTACGGAGTATATACTTAGCTCTGCTCAGCCCTTTTCATTATAAATCATTCTCTCTCTCTCTCTCTCTCTCTCTCTCTATTTTTCTCTCTCTATCTGTAATAAGTCTGTAACCATCTTCATCCCACTGTCTCTCTCACCTTCTGAAGTCCCATCAGTGCACGAAAATTGCCAATATTTTGAAGAGTAGTTTTCAAACCCAACCCGATCAACATTTTTTTCATTAAAAAAATACCCAGTACTTTTTTTAAAATATAAAATGTTTTTTTCATTTCTAAAATATAAAATGTTTTTTTCATTAAAAAAATACTTTTTTGATTAACGTGTGAAGTTATGTGATTTTAAAAATGATTTTATTTATAAATTAATATAGAAATAAAAAATAAAAATTATATACCGAGTATTTAAAAATTACATAAAAGTTCTATAACATAATAAGTGACAAAAATATTTTATTTTATCACATAATATGTGATTTTTAAAAATGATTCAAAAATATGGAACTTCTTGGAACACATCGGCCTCCATCCTGACCGGAAGCGTCCGATCATATATATATATATATATATATATATATATATATATATATATAATGATTATAAGTACCGGGCTTTGTAAAAAGAAAGAGATCCAATTATGAGATAATTTAAATATATGAAAAAATTCACATTTTACATATGTATCTTAGGACCACAATAAGAACCCCCTTTGTTTACCACTAGGAGTACAATTTTTCTTCGCAAAATGCTAGACGTACGACAAAACAAAAGGGGTACCCCAATTATGCATCACTATCTCTCCATTACACAATCCCGAATATAGAAAAAAAGTCTAAAGTGTTGATAAAGATTATATGGTAGAGAGATTGATGATGTACAAATGATGTATTATGGTACAATTCGATTTGGCTTTTTCATCTTAAAATTTACTCCTTGTTTTGAAAAATTATTAAACACCACGCACCTCTAGAGAGGGGGTGGGAGGGATAAAGGAGTTGTCCTAATGACTTGATTTTACACGAGAGCGTCCTTGACAAAATTTGGATCAAAATGAATGCACCACACGAATAAGAAAAGTGAAGGAAAATAACAAGAAAAACAACTGTGTAGACTAGTTCAGCCTAATGCCGACATGGCGACATCCAGTACCCGAACAACCGTGTTAGAGCGATCACTATATATAGCTACCAACCAATCAAACTTAGCGGAGTTTGAGCGGACTTTGACAATCTGGCATAACTTGAGAGTCTGATTTCACAAGTCGCTTATCTTAGCATCAAAGACTCAAGTAATGAAGATAAACTCAAGCAAGAAAGTATTCATCAATCAAAATACTGCCTTGCTTGAATATGAAAAGAGGATTGCATAAAAACTTTTTGAATAATCAAAAGATATGATAAGGAATGTGTTCTTAATGATCTAATCAAAAGCATGACCCAAGGAAGTTGATATAAGATGGGGGAGTGGACACGGATCAAATATTTGAAAAATATATAGATGTTGGAGAGGTTGTAGCCGTCAATTCATTTGAATATGTCTAAAACTATTCGAATATGCGGGTTAGACAAGCTGTCCGACAACGGTCAAAAACCAAGGAACGTAACTATTTGAATAAGTGTGGTTTTATTCGAATAAGTGAGGAAGAAATTTTCTAATTTATTCGAATAGACAATGACATATTCTAATAAGTTAGCCCAAAGCTGCTGAATTCTCTGTTTTACTTGAATATAAACTTGAATAGGTTAAAGGTTAATTATTTGGATAAAAGAGTAACTTTTGCAAGGAAAGGCTTGACCAAACAGTGTTTTAAGGGAGGTTATGAAGGGAAGAAGCTTATTCGGATGACATACTTATTGATAAGCTCGTTGTAACTCTTGAATTAACATCTTCCTTAGCCTTGTTACTCAAAGATGTTGGTGATCTTTGCCATTATCAAAGATGTTGGCAAAGGAATTGCAAATATACATATTCATAATAACATATTGTCCAGCAAAAAAATCTCATTTTGAATTTCGGAAAAAAGATCGAAATAGATCTAGAACATTGAGAAAGAAATGAAATAGAACTCATATGTTTTTATCCCTTATTAAAAAAGAACCAAACATCATTTAAAAAATTGTGTTGGTTTGTAAAATAAAAATTGTGTTAATCCATTTTCGACCGCAGTTGCACAATGTCACTATATAATATCAGTCGGAACTAGAATGCCAAATATGATATTATATACTCTCTCCGTAGTTCGTACCAAAATATTTATCCACTTTTAACTTTTTCCAATCAAAATTGGTAAACTTTGACCTAAAATTAAATAAAAATGATATTATGTATTGATACAAAAATAATTTTATTAGATTTATTATTCAAGATATTTTCAAAATATTATAGCCAAGGTATATTTTTCGTTTTAATGTGCGTAAGTGTGTTATTAGAATATATGTTTTTTTAAAAAAAA